ATACACCTTAAGGATTATTTTAATCCAAGATGACAGCAAAGACTTTTTTTTTCCCATGGAAAATGATTACTGTCCTATTAAGTCTTAATTTTCATTTTTATTTCTATCCATAACCTAGGTGCATAGCAAGTAAAGTAGAAACAAAGGGATTCTATGTCCCATGAAAATCAGAAACTACTCCTGCTAGGTCTCACCTGAACATCACTTTCACAGCAGTATTTTGTCCCAGCCTCTTTAGTAGCACCACCGCTTGAAGGTGCTGACCGAAAGCTTTCCATCCTCCAGGACTATCCTCTGGAGGCCTCTCTTCCTCTGCAAACGCCTGGCACAGCTCCACAAATCAGCCTGCACGGACACGCAGAGAGGCGAAGCATGACTTATGGGCGGATGACGCCAACCCGCAGCAGCAGAGCTCTGCTGCTTCCCGCAGACCCGGGCACAGCACATAACGAGGCAGGGTGGGAGGAGCAGGGAGCTGAAATGGATACCGAGCTGAAATGGGAAGAGCGGGAAAAGAGGGGGTGCCCGCCCTTTGCTTTCTCACCCCGCCCCATCATCCTGCTTTTATGTAGTGCTCATAAACACAGCATGCATGCACCTGCAGTGCAACGCAGTCAGGATTTAGGCTTCCAAGTCCAAGACTATGATTTACCTGTGCCTGCCTCATCCATAACCTGCTTGATATTTGCAAACCAACCCTTCTTGCCTGAGGCTCCTAAGCCTGTGGAGCAACAGGCGTAACAGCTGCGCACACCGAACCTCCTCTTGTTTCCCCAAATTCAGCACAGCGCATGACACCCACAGCGACTTCCCTTGGGGGACGCTGAAGGGACCATATATGCAATGATTGCAATTTTGTAATAATGCTGGACTATGCCAGATGCTTTTAGCCTCTGGCAGGAGAAGCAAGTGATTCAAACAACATCTCCACACAACGTGCTGGAGCAGTCACCAGGTGCATGAACAGCAAGGTCGCTTTGCTCATTTCTTACAGCACTATCAAAATTCCTTACAAGCCTATCCTCTATTTTTCACCTTTGTTTCCAGTTAAATAAAGGGAAGGCACAAAAATTTGTTATGAAAGAGCAAACAAAATTCCTACTGTTTGAAGGACTTCTGCTACTCCAGACCAGTTTATAGCACAGGTGCTTTCCTATGGAAATCAAACCCCTCCTAAGAATAATGTAAGGCAATATTATTTGTAAGTTACAAATTACAATAAGCTCATATTTCAATGAGTCCTTTCCCTCCTTCTTCTTGCTCTCGCTATCTCTTACCCTCTCACCCATTTTTCAACAGAAGGACTAACAAGGAATAATTTGAGAATGATATACGATCGGTTTTATTTGCCAAGTCTTTTTATACTTGAATAGTCAATCTGTTGCTTCCAGTAATGGCAGGGCAGGCAGTATGCGTTCTCCCGCACTCCGCAAAAGAAAACAGAGAACGAATTAGCCATTGATTTAGATACATCATGGTGTGCACTACGTGTGAGCCGGCTGCCTCGCAGTCAGATGCTGCAGAACTACTTAGCATTGCTCCAGACTCCAGACTGTACTTTAACGATGACATATCGGGAAAGCCTGCAGCAAGTTAAAGAGACAAGAACCATGCTCAGCGGCAGACACATTTTTTCACTCCACACGCTGGACGTGAAAATATGCCGGGTGCCGCGTGCAGTGACGGTACCCACTGGATGGACAATTAGCGAAGCACATCAGCTGGGTTCAGACTTGGCTTTCCCTGAAGTCAGTGGTACTGCTCGTGTTTAAACCAAGAGTTAAGTTTGAATTTCAGCTGATAAATTTTAAGAAAAGTCTCAAGAGGTCTTGATTTGTTACAATGCATTCACAACACTTACCCGTTAGAAACGCTGTATTTCAGTGTCCCTTGAAACTGAAGTTTACGATGACTGGGTGGGCTCTGAAACAGGACGCATCTGCTTCACTGTATCTAGGTTTACTGAACTCCTCCTGTGACTGCCTATATGATATGTTATACGTTATGACACAAAAATATCTTCCCATGACCAGCCCTGTTCCAGCGGGGAGTTTGGGGAGTGACACTCAGAGATAAAACAGGAGGCCTGGCCTCCGCCCTTCACACCTGCTCGATAAGCAGCCGCCTTGCGCTCTGCACAACTGACCCAACCTGGGCTTGCCCACGGTGATCCCTTCTGCAGGGAAACCGCATGGGCATTACTTGCAAACCAGGGAGGGTACGAGAAGCAAATGACCTGCATGTTGGGAAGCCAAATATTGGCTACATGAAGGATGGGATACGATACAGCAATGCTAAGACTTTAAGAAGCACAATGAATACACTGCAAGCACTTTTCTGCATACGCAGACCTGAAAATTAAGTCCAGAGGACGCTGTTGGCTCAGAAAGCCACAGACCCCACAGTCCCCTAGCCTAGCAGCACACAGAGCCCAAAAATATGAATGAACTAAAGCAATCTGGATCCTATTTGGTTGATCAGCTCTGATGACTCATCTTCCCTGTGCTGTCCTCAAGCTCATGACAAGGAAACAAACACAGGCGGAACAATATTAAACTTGGTGTCATTTTGGCAAAGTTGCCATACCTGGGATTTTGTCGCTAGGTACTACTTGTACTTCTCGTGTCACCTGTGCCCCAAGTAAGAATTAAAGGTTTAATAAGCAAATAGTCTGTTTTTCTCTTGAGTCACCAATAATTTCTACTCGAATCCTGGGACAGCCTAAAATTTTACCCAAATAAGTTTTTGAGAAACTTGCTGTCTGATGGAGCTTAAGGCAAGCAGTCGGTCAGGGCAGCTCCCGTAGGCTCTCTTCTTAAATTCAGTGTGTCCTCCTTGAGCTGTGACCTGAGATGCTCCACATGGAGCAGAGCAGCATGCTCACGGTGGAAGCCAAGGGGCAGCCCCTGGGGTTGCTACGTGCTGAGGCAGCTACTCCCAGCCAGGAGCAGTGCTGCGAAGCAGTGGCTGCAAACCCTCTAAATCCTCTGGGTTAAAGAAGAAAAGATGGTTACGCTTCCGAGACATGGCCAGTAGTGGTGCCAAATGCACAGAGTCACCAACGTCCATCCTGCTCTTGGAGGCTGCCCTCCTCTCTCGGGAGCTCCTGCCCTTGTGAGCCCAGCCTGGCATCCCACACAGCATTTCACTTCTGAAGGAACAGGGCGACACACAATTATTAAATGAAAAGTATGAAATAGGGGAAATGTAAATGTTTTAAGCAGTTTTATGACTGACACTATAATCACTCTTGGATGTGATTTTTGGGTGATGGACAACATTTCTTACGCTGGTTTGAATAGTTGTGTGTCTGTGAGCTTGTCTGCTTCCTCCACCTGCATGGACTGCCCTATAAAGGTACTGCCTCTCCTTACAAGCTTCTGGGACCCCACCAGCAGAAAGTGGTGCCTCCCTGAACTCCTAAAAGAGCTTTTCATCCTTCCTCACCCATTCCTGCAGCCTTCACAGCAGCCGGCAATTTGCCTGGAGGGGGAACGAGCTTGGATATCCTTCAGCAGAGGGAGACTGATGCTGCCCACCCACATCGGGTGACATTGCGACGCCGACTGCCTTTTTGGTGCCGATGCCAAAGTAAATCCCCCGATACCACAGTTCCTCTGCTGGCAAAGCCCGGCCCTGCCCGGCCCTCGGGAGGATGCAGGCGGCTGTGCCGGCTCCAGAAGTGTGCTGCCGGGGGTCGCGCCGGGGAGGGCGGTCCGGCCATGAGCCTCCGCCGCCGCCTGCGCTTCCCTCCG